TTTTTTTGCTATAAGAAGTGCATTCAAGGGAAGCCTGGGTGGCTGGGTTGGTTAAGCATCTGACTTGATTTCGGCTCAGGTCATAATCTTGAGCCCCATGCCAGGCTCTGCACTGACAGCATGGAGCCTGCTTGGGATTCTCTCCCTCTCCCTCTCTTCCTCTGTCCCTCCCCTGCTCAAGCTCTCTCTCAAAAAAAATAAATAAACATTAAAAATCAAAAGAACTGCATTTGAGAGAATGGGTGTTTTGGTAGGAAGGGAAGAGGAAAAGAACAGATTAATGGTGGACAACACCCTGGAAACAGGCCTCTGAAACTGGGTAAAAGAGAGGCAAAGATCCCAGAATAGGGAAAAGAAAGGGACAATGTCTGCTAATTTTCCATAGAGCTCTGCTTAATCTTCTCATTTTCTATTTTTAAAAATACTGTGGCTAAATGCAGTGTGTTATCCTGGATTGGATCCTGAGACAAAAAAAGGATTTTAGTACACAAACTAGTGAAATATGAATACAGTCTGAGGTTAGTTGATAATAATGTAACACTTTTGCGTCTTAGTTGTGACAAAAGTACCAGGGTCACATAAGAATTTAACAGTGGGAGATCCTGGGTGAAGAGTGTATGGGAACATTGTATCATCTTTGCACTTTTTCTTGCAATCTAAAATTATTACAAAATAGAAGGTTATTTTCAGAAATACAGAAAGATTTCTGATCACAAATCTAGCTTTTATCACAAAAAAGTCAGAAAGCCAGTCATTTAAAATAAGAACATCTTTTGGAAAATGGTGGCATAAAGGTATCAAGTTAAAGCCATCTGTGATGACAAGGCTAAGTATAATAAATCTGGAGGGAGAAAGCAAATCTTTGCCTCCATCTACAAATGGATATAAAACAAACACGTATCAGAGCTGACAGGCATTTGGAAAACACAATGTCATCAGAAATACATTTGAAAAGCTAAAGGCAGTTTTAGCAATCAGGTAACAGCAATGAGTAAACACAAGCAATAAATTTAGCTTCCACATTGTGACTAATCGCTATAAAATTAACTCAACCTAAACCCTCACCAAATTTCTTTTCTACTCAGAACAAAATATCACAGGAAACAACATTTTCACAACTAACCTAGCCTCGATTCTGTAACAGAATTCTTCAATATGTCTCTTATGGGCTAGAGAGGGCCTGAGTCAACAAACCTTCCACCTGCCTTCATTACACCTGATTAAATAAGGACAACTTCTCCAAGGGGGCTCTGAATCATCTTTCATAGTTTTTTCTCTTCTCCCCCTCTCTCTTTTCTTCTTGACATTTCTGATAGGCAGATATTTGAAGCAAATCTTCAGAAATTTTGAGCACACAATCTTCTCGGATTTCAGTGTGGACTTTGGGATTCAGAGCAGTTGGTGTGGTTTTCCTAGCCAGTGGCTTTTGATCCTAGCCATGTATCAATCACACAAGCAGCTTTCTGAAAACCAGACTTGCCTGGACCTCAGCCCCAACTACCAAATCATAATTTGAGGGCTAGTTCTGGGCATCTGCATTTTTAAAGCTTTCAGCTTTTCTGATGTGAATCTAGGGTTACAAACCATATGTTTTCATGCCACCTAACAGAGGGGCTGTGCTAAAAAAGAATGCTTCTTTAGAAGAAGGCTTAGCAAATGTCTCCCTTGGTTAAAGGAAACCCAAATGAAGTGTGAATGTAAAGATAAAGGCATTTTTACTTTTATGTAGAAAATGAGGATATAAGGCAAAATTGATTTTAAAAGATTATAAAACATGTATCGATTATTTTCAGAATCTGACAAAAACAGATTCCCAAATCACTGGTCAAAAAAGATCAATAATGAGATAATAAATGAAAGGTTTTACAAAAGCTAGGATGGCAAACAGGAAACCCCCACATGAGGAAGCCAGTCTTGCAAATACTACTCCCGACCCCTACCTCCAAAGCGATGAGAAGTTTCTAGAGAGCAGGGCTCTCTGCCTTGTTTTTGTGTAATTCCCACAATGGTACAGTACTTAGCACTGCTTCATGTAAAAAATCAGGCACAGATTAAGTATTTGCTCCATTAACTTCATTATTAATATCACCGTTGCATTATTAACATGAAGTTCTACCACTGGCTTCCACATCCAAGTGGAATACAGTAATAAATAAATGAAATGAGCATGAATTACCTACTTATAAAAAACTATGAGTTACTGGCAGGTCATAACTAATACCTTGCAAGGCTACTTCTAAAATGTCCAGTTAGGAACACAGGAGGACCAGCTTTTAAATGGGTTGGGCTATGAACCTCAAGATGAGCGGTACAACTCTAGAACTTTACAGGTTACACTGGAAATTTTCTTTCGGATTTAGGAGGATCTCCTGGTACAGCCCAATACCAAGCACATCTTCCCAAGGCCCCCCTGACAAACAACCCACCCTGGCCTCCTTAATCTTCTCCAACAAACCCTGTAATACCTAGATATTCTGCCTTATACCTTCCTAGGGAAGCCAAATAGCCCTTTACAAATTAAGCATTTCTACAGCACCCCCTCTTTTATTGGACTATCTTCCTCTGTCTGAATGTAACTACTAAGTAAGGCTACCTTCTCTGAACTTCAGCTCAATGAAATGGCATCTTTGGATTTTTCTGCTCACTTCTGACCTACTCATAAATACGATATGCTTCTTCAGGCACCTGTTTAATGTTTACTTCAGTGTGTGGGTATTCATGTCACCAACGAACATGGAGAGAGCGTCTACTAGATGCAAAGGGAACATAAATATGAATAAAATACTAGCCCAGTCTTCCAGTAGCTTCCAGTCAGCCAAGGAAATAAACTGTGATTTAAATGATGAGCATTCTCGAAAAGCTTATCAAAATGTAAACACTGGCATTTAAACGTGCCACTTGGCACAGATAAGCATTTTCATCCTCAAAGATGTTTAAAGGTATAAGGTACACTGTCAGAGGCTATATAAATTGGTGCTGCTTTTTTTTAGTCTCAGCTTTATGGAGATATAATTGACAAATAAAAATGTAAGATATTTAAAGTGGTTTAGCTTTTGATAGCAGCTATTGAAAAATCCAAAACCAGATTTTGTCAAACGAAAACCCACGGTTCTTTAAATTCTTTAAAATGCTTAACCTGCACATGTGCTCCTTAAAATGCGTACACAAAATGTTAATGGAATGCAGTTTATAATAGTCACCTAAATGTTCACAAAGTTAGTGGTTAAATAAACCACTTCAATCCATCCAAGGTAATACTATTCGGCAGTTAAAATAGAGGCAGATCTACAACAACTAACGTGGAAAGATTTTCCAAGATTTAAGGCAAGTTGCAAAAACCAGAAAGACATTTTTGTGGAATCACCGTGTTGCACACCTGAAATGAACAGAACGCTGCATCAACTATACTTCAATAAAAAAATAAATTTATGGTTTTTATAATCCCATTCACCCTTTTAATATGATACAGGTTTCTTTATTTACATATTTATATGTAAATGAGAAAAAAAAAGGCTAGAAGAAAATACTGTAAACTGAAAACCTCTATGGAAAGAAGGAACAGTCACAGGGGCAGGAGAGGTAGCAAAATAAAAGTGGCTCTTCGGGATTTTTTGTTTAGTTCTTCCACACATTTTACAAGTCTTTGTGTCCCTTTCAATAAAGCCTACTCTGACCAACCCATTTAAAAATCACAGTCCCTTAACACACTCCCTGTACTTTCCACACCTTTCTATTTTTTCCCCATTGCTCCTACTCCACTGTAACAAACCACATAATGTACTGATTTATAAAGTCTGTCGCTTGTTTTTTACTTGCTCCTATCAAAATGTAAGTGTCACAATGGGGCACCTGGGTGGCTCAGTCCAGTAAGCATCTGACTCCCGATTTCAGCTCAGGTCATGATCACACGGTTTGTGAGCTCAAGCCCTGCGTCAGGCTCTGTGCTGACAGCGCGGAGCCCGCTTGGGATTCTCTCTCTCTCCCTCTCTCTCTGCCCCTCCCCTGCTCACCCTCGCTCTCTGTCTCAAAATAAATAAATAAAATAAAATTTAAAAAATGTAAGTGCCACAAAGACAGGGATTTCATGGTTTTTTTTTTTTTTTTTTTTTTTTTTTTTTTTTTTTTTACTGTTGTATCCCCAACACCTCCTAAAACAGTGTGCACAGTAGGTATATATATGTGCATGTGTGCACACATTTGTCACCCATTTACATATTCAACAGTTCTAATTCCCTTTGTAATAGATAAATACGTTTTGCTTCACTTACACAAGTGAATTTGGGTGGTTGGCAAGACAGGGCTACTTTAATTAAAAAGCTGAAAGGACAGAGCAACCATCACTGTATCTGCCCTTAACACAGTTCAGGATACTGAAATGCCAGCTACTGAAATGTGAAAAACAAAAAAGATAACAAAACAAAACAAATGGCCTGAGAAGCTGTGCAATAGCAGGTAGGGCTGATTATTCCTAAAATTTGGTGAAAGTGTTCACATTCAAAGACATGAACCTTTCACAAAAGTAAGGTTTCATGTTTCCTCAATTATAAACTCACACAGGAACAGACGTAGATCACTGGGAAATCAAATTAGTCTAGACACGGCGAAGTGTCTAACACTTTTAAATCCCACCCAAGAAGGTCGACAGTGATGACTGACAGCATGCTATACATTACTCTCTTTCCTGTCTATGCAGAAAACATTCTTGCCAAAAAGATACTGCTAGTATCCACATAACAGATCAGTTATCAAAGCAACTTCAACAAGCACATAGGAGGATACTGTCACAATAAACTTCACAAATCCTCAAGAGGAAGGACCCACAACCCTCAGTCTATACCAGGTTAAGGCAGGACTCAGTGAAAACATGCCAATAAAGATGTCCTGTAGTGAACCAAAATGAATGCTTTCTGAATCACGATGCTACCCGAAATCACGTTATTTTGTTCTACTTCTAAGCAGGTCTGACACTTTTAGTTAGAGACACTCCAGGAAAGAGATGAAAAACCTTGACTCTGCACTTCACTGTAGGTAAAACAGCAAAGTGGGCAGAAGAGGGCAGAGTGCGCGATACCTGGTTAAGATGGTTCTAGAAACCAGCACATGTGTGCGGCCAATGGGTCCTATTGTGGAAGTCCTCACCATCATTTGTAACAGAGGGAGATAACTTCCTTGACAAACCTTATCTTTTATATACAAAATGACAAGATGAATTCCTATGATCAACACAGGAAGAAACAGGAACTGAAGGACAGTTAACAGTGGGAGGTAGGCAGACTGAGAAATCCCTAGGCAAGGCCTATCGGTGTGGCATGAAGAATGGAGAGACCAGAGGGAAGGGAGAATGACAGGGAAACAATAGATTGTAGCTCGGATGTACTCTTCTCAGAAAGTCCAGCTGGCCCCTTGTAGTGGATTCTAAGATTTACTTCACTTCATCAAAAGGAAGCGTCTGCTAGTTAAAACAAAAGAAAAAGTTGGGATGGATATCATCTGTATCCCGAAGTCTTCGGTTTCCTTGATGAGAATTTATCAAGGCACACATTAATTACTAGGTCTGTAAAATATCTGGAGCTATTTAAATATGCTCGAATTTTCTCTAGGAGAATTAGCAAGTCTTCTGAACATCATTAGACATTAGCATTAGGATAATTAACCAGATGGAAGAAGTAAAGTTAATCAAAAGGTGACCAGTTCTCAAAGGGAAGCTGATCAGAGTGTTTCCTGCCTACTAAGTTACCCACTAGATTGTAAAGCACACTCAACCTAGAGCCTCCCACCATTTTAATTATCTGCTTTACTATAAACCAAAAATCTAGAAGAGACTTTGCCTGAATGCCTATTATGTTTTCTACATGACAGTAATATCAAGAGTTGAGATCAACTAAGCTGAGCACTCAGTGGGTGCTTCGTGTGCATGATTTTATCAAATGCTCACAGCAACTTAAAAGTAGTGTGATTGGTCATTACCATCTAACAGAGGAGGAAACAGGCTCAGAGAGTAAAACAATCGGCCCCAAGTTACAAAGACCAAAAGTAACTCAGACAGTATCAGGACCTGCAAAGTCTACATGCCTTTTCTTTTCTGCTACTCCGTGAGGACGAAATTTTGATGTCTCCTCCCCAAATGGATCATACTCTGATACTGCAAGGGGGAGGGGGGCTCGTGGGAGGGGGGGATGGTGAGGTGGCAAAAAAATGTTAAAATAAATCACCACCACTCACCTCTGGATTTTCTTCTTTTACTCTTCGGGACTGTAAAACAATTGCATATCCATTAATACGTGCACACACAAAATGCCACAAACATAAATTGTGCACAGGCTAGCTCACCATCGTCAACATCACTTACCTTTTCTTGAGAAAAAGCGGCCTTCCCTTCTTCACTTTTCTCGTCCATCTCGTCGTCACTCCACTCCCAGTCACCGTCCTCGGTTTTATGAAGGTGACCGCTTGACCCAGGAACTCTTCTCACCTGAATCAAAACACACCCGCCCAGATTTTTCACTAGCAGAACGTGAACAGTGCTCGCTGGTGCTGCTAGTTGGGTCGCACAGCACACACCTACGCTGGAAATACCTTGAGTGGTTACGAATTCAGGCAGAGCAGTTAATACCCCAAAAAGACTACATAGCCTGCAGACTCCCACACTCATCCTCTTTCCAAAGATACTGTGTTCTCGAAACGCATTACTATACACCAAGAGCAAAATATTTTGGAAGAATACCACGTGCGTCAGCCACAGGGATCAAATCCATCTTTCCCTTTTGCTTCATTTAATACTTCGTTAATTACTACACACTAAAGGCCATGTGATCAGCTTCAAGACTGCCTAAGGAAACGCAAGCAAGCAACAGATTGCTGACAGAGGGAAGGCGAGGGAGTCAGGCAGCCTAATGAAACACCTCCGTCTAGGACTGATCAGCAATCTAAAGCCTCCATCAAAAAAGCAAATACCCTTTTGTTGCCACCTTGCTCTTTGTCAGAACCTGACATCACACTTGTTTTCCCAAGATTCTGCTCAACCTACCTAAGCAAAACGAAACAGCATCAGACTATTCTTAACACACCTTGTAACACTTTTGAGACTTGGGGGATTGCTAGAAACATGGCAAGATAATCAGCAGCCATGCCGGATCATCCAAACAGGTTATAACAGTCTTCTGCAAGGATTTCAAGTTTATTTGAACTTGTGATTAGAGATGTAGATGTGATTCAGGGGTATTTTCTTCAAATGCCTGTGTGGTTGAAAAAGCAAAACTTTTAAAAGGACAGGATGACTGAGAATGATGAGCCTCTGACCAAAGTAATTTGCGCTAAAAAAAACAGATTCAGATGTAACTGAACAAAGCAATGTAGCAGCGAACATGTGAACGTAACAGCCAGTGAGTGATCCACTGATTCAGAGGAACTTCAAGGGGAGAGGGACCCTGGATAGGGTCTAGTCCAACCCCCTCAATTTACAGATGAGGAAATGAAGGCCCAGGCCTGGAAAGTGATGGAAGATTGAAGATCATCACAAGGCTAGAGGGACAAAATTAAGGCAAGAATAAAAGCCCTCAGATTCCCATTCAAATGCAAATCTTATGCCACTGAATGGTAACCGTGAAACGGAAGTTGTCTAAAAACATCCTGCGAAGACTTTGAAAGACTTATGATGTGAAGAAAGACTAATTTCCGTAATGCAAACTAGTTGGTTATATCATGGGAGCCTCATTAATCCTGAGGGAAATGCCACAGACCTTAAATGTAAGGTTAAGTATTTACACACGTTTGATCAATGTCAATTCATAATCAAAACAGGCTCGGGGGTGGGTCTGACTTAAAGGAATTATCCTGTGGAATCTGTAAAAGCAAGCCTGACCACTTGGTCTAGAAGATCTGAACTCCAGGATGGAAAGTTCAAAAGTAAAAAGTTCTTATTCATAAGTAAAACAGTTATGCTTAATGGGGG